AGCCTACTGAAAAAATCATTACTAATATATAGAAATATATTTTAAAATTTAATACAAGATACATTTATGCAAGTTATCTGTTAATAAAATTGGCTCAATTAAACTATATCAAAGATTGTGGCGTTACTGTATGCACAAAAATAGAATACAAAAAGTCAACAATTTTTTAAGATAAAACTTGCAGAACATCCACCATGATTGATGTACATTGTTGATTTTATTCGTAAATGTTGGTTCTTTGTTTGAGCTGACTTTTACAAGCATAGTTAAGTTCGGCACCTCCGGACAGAAGAAGGTCATTTCCCGTACAAAATGTTGCTTCTGCAGCAAGAAATAAACACATCTGGCCAGCCTCTTCTATTGTCCCCATACGGCCAAGCAACTGTAAATATTAATGTACAAAAAACTTATCATCACGTTATATGAAAGTATATGTACAATACTAGTGCTCAAATTTACCAATGAGCAGCCTGGTATCACCGTATTGTAAAATGCAATGTTGTGTCATACACAATTATATCATGGATTGCATATGACCTTTGATCTATGACCTATGACATTCACTGACCTGCGACTCTTCCCCACCTTTAATCATGGCTTCTCTATTGCCAGATGCGATGGAAAGTTCATCCCATAATGGTGTCCATACATTGCCTGGAGACACACTGCAAATACAGAAACAGGTCAACGCTTCTACACATGGCTAAAAATATATGGTCAACAGTGTGTCAACTAACAGGACTGATTTTTGGAGATCAATCTTGAGCTGTTTGACTGCTGGGGAGAGAGGTCTTCAAGAAAAAAACTAAAAATGACTGTATATGTGACTTGAGTCACAAATAAAAATGTTGTGGCATCTGATTTTCTTTGTTTTTGCAGGATGTTTTTTTTAAAAACAACAATTGATACCTGTTTACCCGAACACCATGTTGCGCTTCATCTACAGCTAAAGCTCTTGTAAAAGCATCTATTGCACCCTGGAAAAAAACAAAGTAAAAACATGTTAGTGTTCTGAGGGCAGTATTGCCCAACAAATATTATCAACACATATATTATGGCATAAATGCCATTATTATACATCTGTCACCGTAACGCCATATGTTACAGCGTGACGTAATTTTGCGGTATTTTAAGGGGTATTTTCATCCTACCATATTAGGAAATGCTAATTCCAAATATGGAATGATTACGCACGTAAGCGTTTTCTAATAATAAAAACAAACATGGCTGCCACAAGGGTTTGACCAGACTCCATACAAAGAAGTTCACTGATTTCGGCATTCCCATGATGTATCCTTGGTGGGAAAAGATGTATAATAATAAGGTTATTATGAAGATACCTCAAAGTATCCAATCTTAGCAACAAGACTTGACATATTCATTGACTCACCTTTGTAGTGACATATGGCATGGCATGTAGCTGTCCAATGGTAGGAACAAGACTTCTTGACATTCATTGACTCACCTTTGTAGTGACATATGGCATGGCATGTAGCTGTCCAATGGTAGGAACAAGACTTCTTGACATATCCATTGACTCACCTTTGTAGTGACATATTGCATGGCATGGCATGTAGCTGTCCAATGGTAGGAACAAGACTTCTTGACATATCCATTGACTCACCTTTGTAGTGACATATGGCATGGCATGTAGCTGTCCAATGGTAGGAACAAGACTTCTTGACATATCCATTGACTCACCTTTGTAGTGACATATGGCATGGCATGTAGCTGTCCAATGGTAGGAACAAGACTTCTTGACATTCATTGACTCACCTTTGTAGTGACATATGGCACGGCATGTAGTTGTCCAATGGTAGGAACAAGACTTCTTGACATATCCATTGACTCACCTTTGTAGTGACATATGTCACAGCATGTAGCTGTCCAATCTTAGCAACAAGACTTGACATATTTATAATATTACCCTTTGTTTTTCTGAGATGAGGAAGAGCATACTATAAAAGAAGATAGAATGATTAGTAACTCTCAAATATTAATATTAACAGCCCATTGTAAAATGTAAATATAACCACAAACGAGTTTCTCTGCACAGATGAATTGTACTGGTTATTGTTATTTATATAAACCCTAATTTATTTAGTTTCTAACATTCAACATTGTGTAACTTATCAACCATATTTACATGCATGCTTACTTTTTCATCCCCTTATTTTTTCTGACCAACTTTTTGACTTCACAAACTAACTCAGTGTTTTCTCCAACTCTCTCAGTGACATTGATCAACTTACTCAGTGATTTCATCAATATACTTGGTGACTTCATTGACTTCAATGACTAAATTTAACCAACTTAACTACTCAGTGACCTAACCATGCAACTTAGTCAATGATTTCACCAAGTTACTCTGTGACTCTACCAACTTAATTACTCAGTGACCTCACCAACTTAATCAGTGACCACACCAACTTACTCAGTAACCTAACCATGCAACTTAGTGGGTGATTTCACCAACTTACTCTACCAAGGTGAGCAGAAAAAAATAATTTTCTCCATATGTGAAAATTTAAATTGTTATTTTTGGAGAAAATTGCTCAGTGTCAAATTTGTTCACCCCCCCTCCCTCCCACAATACATCTGTCAATACACTGTAGAATAGAGACGCCATAGAATAAATGTATTCTATTTACCTTTGCAAATAAGAAATAATTTATAAGGTTTAAATTCAATAATTTTTTAAAACTCTCAGCAGATACATCATCTATTCTTTCTTCAGGTGGATCTAAAATATAAACAAAACCCGTAATAAGAATAGGGACTATGATTTTCAAACTACGGTAATATTTCTGAATGAAAATTCAGATACTTTTAAATATTTTGATCACATGGTATGTATTTTCTGATTATTGGTAGTCTAATCATGATTTACTGATAGACAGAAAAATAGCTTTTGCATATACCGTAATATGAATATATTTTCGATCTTTAAAGACAATGCCTACAATACAAAATCAATATTCAGTAATGTTTGGTGGAAAACTGAAGCTGATATTGTGATATATCATGTATCAACTGTTCTTTGCTTTAATACAAGAACTGAGACGACAAACTTCCTCTATTTGAGTTTTTCACTCACGTAATTCTTTTTTATTGAGATTCTGAATTTTTGGAGTTACAGACATAGAGTTATGAAAATACTGAGTTATTAATACGTCCATGCCCACTGTAACAACTGTAACTCATTTTTAAATTAACAGCAACATGCATTTTTTGTTTTTGTTGAACATCCACATTTAGTAACCCAAACTTTATTTAACTGTTAACCATACTTTGAGTTACAGGCAACATATATTTATTAACTCAAATTTTAATTAACTGTAAACCAAACTGTATTTTATTTCACAGCATTGTTGAGCTGTTCATCCTTGGTTATTCACGAAGTTACTCGCGTTGATGGGGGAAATAAAAGGAGGATACTATAGTACAAACAGCCATCTTGTCAGTCAACGGAATACAATACCTTTTCAAAATAATCGTAATCCCCAGTTTAACACATTCCCATTTTGCCTATTCTCCTAAATTATCAATGAGTGGCGAATATAAATACTTTTTCAGCAATTTTAATGTTCTTATTATTTCAGATGCATTGGTTTGGATGATGAACGTATATTTATGACATGAACTAAAGTAACCTGAGATGACAACCTTACAATTTTATTGTAAGATACAACACAATATCACCATTAATTCTCATTTTGTGTGAGAGATATTCTGATTGTTTTAGTCTACTTACGCCATCCTGCATTGTTCACTAGACAGTCCAGTTGTCCATATCGCTCTACTGTCTTGTTAATAACATTCTTCAAAATAAAACAAACAAACAAATAACTATTATTAATGCTATGCCATTTTTCG